GGCTGGGCCGCCCCGCCTCCGGTCCTCTGCCTGCGCAGGCTGGAGGCGGCGCGCAGGAGAGGAATGCGGGGCAAGGCCGCCGCTGCTACGCCTGGCCCGCTCCGAGGACGCAGCCGCCAAGACGCCTAGCGCAGCAGTCCCGGGGACCGCTCTCGACCTCTTTCTTTCATTCACAAAAATAGGAAAGGGAGAAAAAAAAGAGAGAAAGGGGAGAAAAAAAGGAGGGCGAATCGCACCCAGACGGCTGCCGTGACAGGCACCGCTCACCGCAGCGCTCCGTTGGTAGAAAGGGGGCGGGGGGCGGAGAAGGGGCGGGGAAAAGAAGGGGATTGGGCTCCCTGGCGACCCCGCCCCCAGCCCCGCCCCGTGTCGCCGCTCTCTCCCTCCCTCCTTTCCTTTCTCCTCCAGGAGGGACGCGGTGAGGGTTCGTGGGCGGGGAGGGGGGGTGGTGGCTCGTCTTGCCACCTGTGCCGTGTCGCGTGCCCTCTACCTGGTGAGGCGCAAAGCCTCGCTAGACTCCCACGGGGTTTGCCCCTTCCCTCCGAGAAGCCGAGGAAGAACTCGGAGAGGCACCCTAGTCAGCCCTAGAAGGGATGCGAGTTAGGGGAGGAGAACTCGACATGTTTTCCTTGGCCCGTAAATCCAGGCCTCCACTACTTGTCCACGGGGAGAGGGAGACGGCGTTTCTATGTACGCCCTCTGCTGGCGTGGGAGTTTCTCCGTCGCGTAGGGCCTTCCTCTCTCCATCACTACTCCTGCAGCGGCAGCCTTTGCCTCCAGTTGCTGTGGCCCTTAATTTCACGGGGGATCCCTGTGCCATTTGCACCTGTTTCCCACCTAAGCCTTCTCCCCCGCCCTCTTCTCCGGCAGTCTCCACTTCCGTCCCACCCTCCACCCTATTGCCACCTAAAGTTCACCCCCATCTTTTGACTTCTGAGAGAAATACCATGAAGACCCTAGCCCCGGAGATGGTACCTAAGACACCTCTAGGCTCTAGGTCTCAATGTATATCTCTGTAAAACAGAGAGGTTATAAGAGATGACATCTGTAATATGAATGATCCTCAAAGGAAGTTTCCATGTTCAAGGCTAGTTTGATAATGATGATGTTGAATGCTAGTAATTACAGTAGTCAGCTCAGTCTGGTTTTGTTCTCTCGTCGACTTCCTCTGGAAGATTTTTAAAGTCCAGATTGACTTGCTTTACTCTTAACCCCCTCCATCACACCTCCAACTTGTGCTCTGAGAATATAAATCCACTCTGATACTAGTTTATGCAAAATATGATTGGGAAGAGAAATCCATTACCAAAAAATGCCAAATAAAAAGTGAATTTTGCATTGTCTGAAGCATGCTCCTCGTCTATAAATGCACATAATTGGAAGTTGCCCTTCAAGGTGTTCATGATAAACACACTCTCTGGCCTGGTTCACATTCTGTAAGTGTCTGATAGTGAAGAATGCTTCCCCCACCTCCTTCTCAATCTACCTAGAACTGGAGAAAAGGTTGAGGATGACTGAGGGCGCTACTTCACATTTCTAGCTAGCTCTCGTTCTCCATAAAACAGAAAATTTTGGATTAACCCATGCTTAGGAAAGAAATTAAACAATGTACGAGTGTGTTTGGCATTGAAGAGCCTCACCCCATCCTCTGTGTGCCAGAAGTCACTGTGAGTGCCTCTGGTGGGGGATGGGGCAGAGCTTCTTCCACTGACACCCTGTTCCCCCCTCTCAGCTCCAGAGCGCAAGCCTTTGGCCTCACCTTTCACATATCCAGGCAGCAGGCACAGCCCCAGCATAACACAGAGCAGGAAAACAGCACATCCTCTACCCTAAGTCATGGAGCTAACAGGCCTGCAGCTATGGAGTCAAGGCCCTTTACCTCTTTGGAGAAAGAGCCAGCTCAGTCTGGGAACCTCATTGCCCAACCAGGCTAGACTGTGGGGCTTCAAAAGTGTAAGGTTAGTGGAATAAAGTTGCACCCCCTGCTCACGTTCTGTAAACTGTCAGGCAGAGCCAGGTACTCTGCTGCTGGGAGGTGGGGTGGGGGGTGGGAGTCACCTTAATTCCCAGCTCTGCTTTTTGCCCATAATCCTCATTCAGTTTTTCTTCAACCCAGAGTTCCCAACTATATAACCTCTCAGGCATTCCCAGTCACAGCCTCACTCAGCCATCTCCTATCATCTTGGTTGCTCAAAGTCCCCTTCTCCTTTGGAACCAGTTTCTCTCCCCCACCCCCACACCCCTCAGGCCTTTATTACTGTTGAACCATCCCATCTATGATCCAACTTGGCTGTCTGGGGACCTCCCCCGCAGATCTCTCCCACAGGCCAGCCTACGAGGACTGCCCCGCCAACCATGGTTTTTCACTCTCAGCTCAATGACCAGGATCTCCAGACACTGGCTCCCAGCTTTTTCCCAACACCAGGACAATCAAAGATTCTTGACATCAGAGGCAGATCACCACCAAGCTCCAGCCCTTAGCCTCTGCCTTAATGTGCCTGATACCAGGCCTTTTCTCCACCCAGTCCCGGCCTTCAATTCGCCCCTCCCAGCTGCTCAAGACAGCCGCAGAATCTTGACTCCCAGGCCAAAGATCTGGCTACCACATTTGCTTCATCTTTGCCCAGCCCTCCAATGACATAATCCTGGAAAACACAGCCATTCCTGGAGGCTGGGTCCTTTGCCAGCAACCAAAGAGTTGTCAGCATCCACTCTGAGCCCTGTCCCCGGTCCCCAGCTCTCAGTGGGCAGCAGGGTCTCATAGCACAGGCAGCTCCCTCACGCTCTCTCACCTTGCACTCCTTCTACATCTACAGCCTTAGCGAGTCCACTTTCTTTGCTTCAGATTACTTCTCAAGTCAGGCCTGGTGGGAGGTTTTTCCAGAAAGGCTTCTGGCTTCTTTCTCTCTCTGCCTCCTCCTTTCTTCTGTTATACACACACACACACACACACACACACACACACGCACGCACGCACACACACACATGCACACACACACACACACACGCACACGCATACACCAGCCCCCTTGCCCATTGTTTTGTGGTGCTTCAGAATCAGATGTCGATTCTCTCCCTGGCTAGTTGAGCTCCCATGCTGTCCTTCCACTGGTGGGCCTGGGCAATGCCCTGCCATAGCCTGGCTTACTCACCCCAAGGGTGGTGGTGGGGGGTAGGGGTCGGGGGGCAATGCCTGGCTGCACCCTGAAAGGCTTCTGGCATCTTGGAGGCAGATTCCATTCCAGTCTCCTGCCTCCCCTAACATCTCTTTCCTCACCAAAACCCTCTTGTGACTGCTACTTCCCAGTGATATAAACCCCTTGAAATTGTCACCAAAAGGCAATCCTTCCATCTATCCCTATAACCACCCTCGTCAAGGTTGTCACATGGTTGCTGTTTTCCTGAACCCTGTGACCAAGAGGACTAGTCTGGGAAAAGAACTCTCCATCCTGGTTCTCAGGAAGGTACCCACACACCAGTCTCTCGGCCACTGCCACCAAGCCCTTCTCTCCATGTGGCTCTGCAGGTCCTTCCCCAGTGCCAGCCCAAGCTCGCAGTGCCCTCCTCCAACCTGCCTGTTCCATTTGCTTCACAGGCAGTTCCAGCCCTTCAACTATTTGCAGGCTCCTAACCTCCTTTCTCTCCACCCCTTTCCTGGAACTGAGCCTCTGTGAAGCCCACTCCACAGGCCCTGTGATGTGAGTTCCTCCCCTTCCCCACTGTGCTGTCTGGGGCACGTGGCATTACCTCCCTGTGCTTGGGGCAAAGTTCAGAACCAGCTGAGAGCAAAAGCTGAGGCATCTCAACATCCAGAGCCCTGGCAGGAGGAAAGAGCCAAGTCTGGAAAGTCTGAAGTCTCTCAGTCTCTGTGTCCAGGACTCAGGGGCACTGCCAGGTCTCCACAAGGAGATGGGACCTTTCTGGGCCTTTGCTCTAGTAGTGACCTCAGCCTGAACTCTCTTCTTCTTCTCATCCCTTGCACTTGGATGATGCTTACTCATCTTTCAAGTCTTAGCCTAGATGTCACTTCTTCCAGGAAGCCTTCCATGAATACTCCCTACAAAGTCTGGGTTCCCTGCCTTTTCTCTGTATACCCCTATTAATACTAGTCACACTGCTCTATCACTGGGTCTCTCTCCCTCGCAGTACTGAGAACTCTTTAGAGAAGAAACTATGCTTATTCAAAAGAGTATCCTTCATGCTGGTCTGGCAAAAAGCATTCAATAAGTACTCAATAAATGCTCGATGGACGAATGAATGTACGGGATGGGGAACTTGATGGGGAGGGAGCTGACACCACTCAATGGCTACTCACATGCTGTCTAGAGAGGTCTTCCACAGGCTGTACCAGCCTTTTGTTCAGGTTGTCATTGCTCTGTACTCCCTCTAGGCTCCTAGTTGGGCTGGACTGAAGAGAATGGGGTGGGGCAGGGGAGGACAGTGGAAGAAGGAATGAGCACACTGTGAGTTACCCAAAGAGACACCACCAGGTCGGTCAGCCCGAACAGAGGTCTTACTCAGAATAAGTGCATGGCTCCTGCTGTGCAGGCCCAATGCACTGAGACATCCTGCCTGGGGGGTGAGACAGAGGTCACCCTAGGGAGTCAACGGGCTACTCGAAGGGCAAGCACTGGAGTCACGGCCCATTCTATGCTGCGGGCATCTGCACATCTGAGCTGGCTTGGTCATTTGGAAAGAGCAGTCCGCTGTCCGTGGGAAG